CCTCCCCCCACTATCATGACCCCAGTTCTATCTTACAAATCTGGCTAGACCAGAGCATGCACATTGGTATAGCTAAGAGCTCTCAACACACAGAGTCCAGGACAGATAAAACCCTTCGGACCAATAATGAGAGTAGCAATACCATGAAGATAAGGGGTAGGTCGGGGGAGAAGGGGGGAAAAGGGGGAACTGATTGCAATGATCAACGTACAACCTCCCACGCCAGGGGGATAAAAAACAGAAACATGGGTGAAGGGTGACAGTGGATGGTGTAAAATATGAAAATAAAAATAATTTATAAATTATCAAGGGTTCACGAGGGTGAGAGAGTCAGGGAGGGAGGGGGGAAAAAAGAGGAACCGATACCAAGGGCTCAAGTAGAAAGAAAATGTTTTGGAAATAATGATGGCAACATATGTACAAATGTACTTGATACAATTGATCTATGGATTGTTATAAGAGTTACAGGAGCCCTCAATAAGATGATTTATTAAAATTTTTAAAAAGATTGCTATACAATCTGGATAATTTAAAGATAAGTTCGGAATAGTCCTTGCCATCAAGTAATTAATGATGTAGTAAAGTAATGAAACAGATATTCAGACAGTAATATATGCGATCACTAGCCAGAGCTTAATATTATGAAATCTAACCAATTTAATAGACTTTTAAAGAAATCAAAGTAAGGCTGAATTAATATCATGATTTCATTGAAAAAAAAAAAAATCCAAATGAGATTTTCATGAAAAGGGTCTCACACATTGAAAACAAGTCACATGATAATTTTTTTATTAGTTGGGATTTAATACATATATCATTCCATATTTCAATCACATTAAGTAGAATTGTTCAATTGCTACCACAATCAGTTTCCAACCACTCTTTTTCTATATGGACTCCTTGACATCATTTCCCTTTTACCCTACCACCACTGTGGCCCCCACCCTCACCTGACAATTTATAATACCATATTGGAGATTATGATAGGAACTAGCAGAATAAAGATAAACCAAAAAAACCAAACTCACTGCCATTGAGTCAATGCTGATTCACAGGGTTTCTGAGACTGTACCTGTTTACGGGAGTAGAAAGCCCAGGCTTTTGTCTTGAGGAGCTGCTAGTGGTTTTGAACTGCCGGTCATGTGGATTACAGCTCCAGAAGCAGTTGAATAATTCAAGCTAAGTTAAATTTAAATGTCTACTTAAAGGAAGCTATTGTTTCTCAGCAGTTCTAAGTGGTTCAACATGTCTGGGATAGATTTGTTGGTAGAAAGTAGGAATAAAGGAGTACAGGTCATCTGAGCATAGGATCAACAGAACTAAGAAAAAAAATGTAACTTTAGTATAAGTTCATGTTTTTTACCTGATTAGTATAATTATATTACAACTAGAACATTGGTATATGACTCATTTGAAAGTATCTACTGAATATTTTTTAGATACTATAAAAACATTCAAAAAAAGAAAACTTAGAAAATATCAGTGTTATATCAGGGATTAAGAGTCAACTATACACATTAAAACTCAAAAACTTCAGTGTTAAATTACCTTAAAACATGTTTTTTATGTTGTGGAGAATATATACAAAACATACACCAATTTAACAGCTCCAACATGTACAACTTAGAGATAGTTTGCTTTCTTCAAGTTCTTTTTTTTGTCTTCCTAATTTTTTTTGTTTTTTAATCATTTTATCGGGGGCTCATACAACTTTTACCACAATCCATACACACATCCATTGTGTCAAGCACATTTGTACGTTTGTTGCCATTATCATTCTCTTTCTTCAAGTTCTGAAACCATTCTTAGCCTTTTTCTGATTTGTTCCTTTCTCATTAACATAAACTCATTGTCCTGTAAACTTCTGTTTAATCTTCTGAATTTCTACTGCCGATTTGAGCTCAGAAGGGCTCACTGGGGGCTAGGAGTCGGCACTGACTTGACAGCATGAGGGGTTTTGGTTGATCTTTAAGATCATTTTACTGGGGCTCATAAAGCTCTTATAACAATCCATCAATTGTATCAAGCTTATTTATACGTATGTTGTCATTATTTTGCAAACATTTATATTCTATTTGAGCCCTTGGTATCAGCTGCTCTTTTTACCCTCCCTCCCACCCTTGTGACCCCTTGATAAATTACAAATTATTATTAATTTAATATCTTAGGATAGCATGAGTTTTTAATAGAACAAAATACTCAAAGGAGATTTTGCCCCCCCTAGTTAAGTTGTTCAGTATTAGGGAACCCTGATGGCACATTCCGATTAGTATTAAACTGTTAACCAGAGTCCCTGGTTCAAACCTATTACCAGTTCCACGGGAGAAAGATGATGCTGTTTGCGCCCATAAAGATTTACAAAACCTTGGAAATCCTCCATTTGGACCCCATGAGTCAGAGTGACTCAGTGGCAGTAGTTTTGAGTTTTTTGCTTCAGGGGCTATTTATTTAATTTTTTACCAACTCTTTAAAAAAATCATTTTATTGGGAGCCTCTTACAAATCTTATAACAATCCATCTTTCAGTTTTATTAAGCGCGCTTGTACTATGTTGCCATCAACACTTCCAAAACATTCTCTTTCTACTTGAGCCCTTGGCATTGTGGTTATTTCATGACTTACACTGTCTGTCTATTAACCACATTTCTGTTATCTGTCCCTCTGGAGGGGTGGGCTATATATCCAAACGCATGATGGGCTATGCCTTTCTCACCCTTCCCTCCCTCCCCCCTCCCTACCCTCATGATAGCGCTACTCCCACTACTGTTCCCGAGGGTTTTATCTGTCCTGAAGTCCATGTGTTGAGAGCTCTTATCTGAACCAACGTGTGTACTCCGGTCTAGCTGGATTTGTAAGGTAGAACTGGGTCACGAAGGTAGTGGGGAGAGGAAGCATTCAGGTACTAGAGGAATGATGTGTGTTTCTTCGGTGCTAAACTGGTTGAATTGTCCCTTCTTTGTAACCTTTCTGTGGGGGGATGTCCAATTGTGTACAAATGGCCTTTGGGTCTCCACTCCAACCCACCTCATTCACATTGATATAATTATTTGTTTTGGATCTTTTGATACCTGATTCCTGATCCCATCGAAACCTCATCATCACACAGGCTGGTGTGCTTCTCCCATGTGGGCTTATTTGCTGCACAGGGGCTATTTTTGGCTTATAGTTATCTCAGGGCAATACTTTCAAGAGTTCATCTACATTCCATGGCTCTTACTTTGTGCTCCACCCTCCATGGCTATTATATTCTGTGTTCTTTATCACAGTGGATATCACATTAGCCCAAAGATTATTCAAATGACAATTTATCACATGGAAAAACATTCAGTATACTTAGTATAATAGTCACAGTGTATTAAAAGCCAAACCTGCAAAGAGCACTTCTCCACAACGGATGGGCTTCCGAGGTCTTGTCCTTGGTCCCTGCATCAGTGGTCGTTCTTGAGGCAAGAGGAGGTAGTTTTTAGCCTCATCTACCAAATCTCTGTAGGGAGAAAAATCTGCTTTTGTTCATAATATTTAAATAACATTGTTAGTCACATCCTAATATGGCTTATGAATATGTAAGTATACACAGGGGAGCAAGCATAAATCAAACCAAATAATTAATGCCATCCAATATCAAAAGGGCACCAACAAAAGAACATCTATACCAATCACACAATGAGCTGGATTATTTGTTATTTCCATGACTGCATATCTTACTACAAATCTGGTCTGATATGTAACATGTTTGGTGTCAAGAATAACTTTAAGAAATATTAAAAATTACAAATCAATTGCTAACCTGCGAGGTTAGTATTATCTAATAAGTTTTATTAGATTCTGCAAGACAGTGGCAAATTAGCACATTAGGCACGGTACCAAATATTTGCTAGATCAATTAAGGTGACAGAATTGAGTCAAAATTCCAATTATTAAAAATAAACACTATATCATCACTTAATGTTAATTTGCTCTCTGGTATGAATCATTTATTCTTAACAGGTCCGCCGAGGATGAAGAAAACAAATTTTTCCTGTCCAATTAAGGTACCTCAAGGGAAACAACTAATAATTACTTTTGCTAACTACAATATTCTAATACTGTATAAGCAATTAATTCACTTAAATCCTTTGAGTGTTTTAGCACTTGATTGAAGCAAATTCAATTCGTTTCTTTGCTGTCTCAACTCTGAAACTGCTTCCCAAACTACTCCACATTCACTTCTTTAGTTATATTACAAAGAGTAATGCCTGCTAGACCAGTCTCAGCCATGACTCAATAATGCACTTTCCAATATGTGGCTTTGCTAGGCAGCTTCTAAATTTACCTATTCTGGAATAAAAACAAGCAAAACGCCCCCAAACCACGCCAAGAGTTTCCTCTAGCTTTTCCAGATTTAAAGAAGACAGCGATCTTTAATAGTGCTTTTGAATGGCTTCTAAAAAAGAGTACTATTGCGGTAATAATTAGCAAGCCAACACAAAGTTAATAGCAACAATAACACAGCTTTATGCTAGCCCCTCTTTCAAGATATTAGTATATACTAATTTAATACACAAAACAGCCCTATGGAATAGGTCCTGTTGTTAACTCCACTTAACAGATGGCAAAATTGCAGACCAAAGGTTAAAGTAACTTGCCTAAGGTCACACAGCTAATACACTGTGAGGCCAGAATATTAGGAAAGTGTTTCTTTTTAAAGTGATTTTTAGAAGTAGTTTTAGGAGTCCTTTTGGCACTATTGGGTAGGCATTAGACTACTAGCCACAAGGTCAGCAGATGAGACCCAGCAGCTGTTCTGTGGGAGAAAGATGCAGTGGTCTGTTCTCACAAAGATTCAGGCTCGGAACACCTACACAGGGTATCTCTAAGTCAGAATCGACCTGATGGCAGTGGGCTTGGGTTTCAGAAGTATGTTTACTCTCTGCATCAGAATCACTGCAACTGATTTATTTTTTATAAGTATGAGAGGCCGCCCTGTACTGTTTTCCAGACCTCAGCACACACAATCTATACAGTCTTCCTTTTAAATATTTAGGGGGATTAAAGGTTGTTTTTTTAAATATAAAAGATTCATACCTAAAATCTCTATTTGGCATATCCTGTTAAAAGAATACGCTTCACTGTAGAAGAAATGCAAGTGGACCTACATGTCCTATCTCTAACCCAAGATTAGGGATAATTCCAAGTCTCTCCAGACACTAAGGAAGATCCAAAGGTCAGGGTCGCTTAAGGAGTTTTGACTACTGACTTACTGCTTCATTTGTAATATTTAGAATATGCTAGACAAAATCTGCTTACAAACACTAAGATCATTTCAGATTTAAACGCAATACTTAAAAATGTCACACAGGTGAAAGTAATTTATTGTATTTTGTATGTATTACAGAAACAAAGCAGTCAACTTAAACAATATATATATGAGCATTTAGTTTCTTTTATAAAAAAAAAATGTGTGGAAATTTACTTCACCAAGCTCAAGTAGAAACCTTTCCACAGCTATTCTATGATGATGGTACATCTTTAACTGTTCAGAATCTTACAAAGCACGGCTGTTCCTATTCTCCAACTAGACATATATGACGGCATTTAAACGTTTCCACTGACAAAGCCAACAGTATTATTTATCTCAAGAAAAAAAATATTAGCAAAGAATTGTCTCTTCAAATTCAAGCTTGCATTAAAATCTTAGACATCTACCTCTTTATTGTCACTTCTACATCAATAAGCACTACACATAAACTAACGGAATGGGATACTGGGGGCTCAGCCTTCTCTTCTTCCATCTTCTCCTCTTGACCCTAGCCTAGAGGAAAAACCTGTTACATTTTAACATGCTGCCCTGATTTCAGCACTAAGAAATATAGTATTGAGGAAGTAACACAAAGAAGGAAATGAAGAGAAAGTAGAATGCAGACGTGTTGGCTTTCCCCTACCTGCATTCTTCATCACTTTTGATGAGAGGATCAGAGCCTACTGTGCCCACCAGGAACTTGGGACTAAGCAAAGGGAGGCGAACATGTTGCAGCACCTGTGAGATAATAAACAACATGATCAGGAGCCTTGGAGGCACAGTATGGTATGCATTGGACAGTTCAAACTCACCACTGCTCCACAGAAGAAAAGATGAGGCACTCTACTCTCCTACAGATATTTAACCCCCCCCCCCC